TGAATTGATATGAATTGATTCACCTCTTGCATTCTTTAGGCTCTTAAATAATACTTGATGTGGGAATTGCTGAGGGAGGTTCTACTTTTAGATCAGTTCTCTTAATTGAGTATTAACCCCACCTTTCTTTTGCTTTGCTGGACAGTTTTTCAGTCTATGTTGTGCATTTTTTTGCTCTGCCACTTAAGAGCTATATGTCATCAGCAAAATCCAGCTCTTCTGGTGTCTGTTTTATCTATGCCTCCTACATCCTACGTGGTAAATGGGCTTCAGGTTGTAATCAGGCATATGGGGGTCAAGTCCCGTGAATGTTCAACAAAAAATTATTCAAACTGGAACAGGTACAAAGGAGGGCTGCAAGGACCATCAAAGGAATAGAGGACCTATGTTATGTGAGGAGACTGAAACAGTTTAGCTTTCTTAGCCAAGTGGAAGGCGAAGGGGAGATAAAGCCATTTCTATAAATACAGCAGGGGCATCTGGGAAAGAGAACATGTATGTGAGCTACTTAGGACAATGTTGTATACGAGCAAATGTGGAAAAACTGGCTGGGAATAAAGTAAGGTTCAAAGTTAAAGGGTTTCTAACTTTCAAAGGAGTGAGCTGCCAGGCTCTCCATAGGAGGAATAGGTCAGACTGCCTAGCAAGGCTTGAGGTAGAGCTTGATAAATTCCCCAACAGTATTCAGTGCCTTTTATAGCAGGACCCAGGACTCCCTTCGAGCCCCACACTCTGTGTGCAGCTTGGGTTGACTGGAGACTGTCCTTCTTTAAAAAAAAAAAATCTTTGCTGGCAGAGTTCTTCAGGTGTGTCTTTATTGTGCCATCTCCATGCTTGGAAGTTTTCAAGAGCAGGTTAGACAGACACTTAGCTGGGCTTGTTCGGTCACGGATGATCCTGCCTTGGGCAGGGAACTGGACTAGACCTTGTGGGGTCGTTTCTAGCTCTTTCCTATGATCCAATGAATCAGAGACAACATGGCATAGCAGGATGAGTAAGGGCCATCTCTACCTCTTACACTGGGGAGGAAGGATGGTCCAGTAGTAAAAGTGGTAGTGTGGGACCTGGGCAGTCCTGCCCTACCACTGACACCTTTTGCAACCGTGACCGCATCACCTAGTCTCCCTCTGTGGGCCCTATGGGGGAAGCATGCTCGCCATGGGTTCCACCAGATAATTTGTATGATCTGCACCATAGACAACAACGAAATGCTGATATGTTTGACAAAAAATGAGTGAACTGCTTGTATGCTTTATAGCCTGGGACAAAGTCACTTAGATCTTCTGTGCCCCAGTGTCCTCCACTGTCAAATGAGGATAATACATTATTACATACCTGGGAGGAGTATTAGGAGGTTAGATAGTCAGCGTTTGTCCAGTACGTTGACGATGGGAAAATATCATAGACAAGTATTGTTTATTTAAGCGTGCGCGTGTGTCCGTGTGTGTGTGTTCGTGTGCACATACTCTGTTGCCCTCCACTGGACGGACTTAAAATAACTCGGCTATCTTCTAGACCCTAGGCCATTCTCTCCTCATTCAAGGAGTAGACCGTATAAACTGGTGCAGCCAGAACTCTTTGAGGTTCATCCCTGTTATTCGGGGTCAGTTGTACTGCGCAGCACAGTGACAGGCATGAAATCCTAAGTGGCCATGGGTTTGTTACAGCGTCTGCTTTATGATGTTACCAACAAACCTTTCTATAGACATTCCCCTCCTGGATAGTAGAGTAATCTTCGGGAAGCTTCTCACTTGGAGCCTCGACAAGGAAGTAACTAAAACAAATGAGAAAGAAAGAGAAAGTGGTGTATGTGTGTGAGATATTCCCTCTCAGTGGCTTTATTCTGATATGCAAATAACCCCTCATTAATTTCTCCAGAAAATTTTCCTGATGGGGAAGACTGAGTCGAAAGTGTCTCTGTGGGCAATCTGCATCTAATGTTTGATTTATGATGTTTGATCATCTAACTTTCCTCCTGCAGATCTTTGATGTGCTTCCATGTTTGTGTTTTCTGTAGCATGCTGGAATACTCCCTGGACTTGCAGAACGTTAGTTTCTCAGCTGTTCGGACAGTCCGAGTACTGCGGCCACTGAGAGCCATTAACAGAGTCCCCAGTAAGTTGGATCTGATTTCCGTCCTTCTTTTAAAGTCCATTCTGGCTCATTATTTCAGGAACTCCAGACTTCAGAGAGCAAGTACAATCTTTTTCTCACCTTGCACTTAAAATGTTCACCTACTTCTCTGGAGTGGGTCAGCTCTTACCGTTGCTCTTGTCTTCTGCTGTTTATAGAGGGCTTCGCCCCACGCTGCTTTAAAAAACACTCCATCCATCTAGCCAGCTTTGGAGCAAATCATTTAATCCCAAAGGCAGCAAGAGACTAGCTGCATCTTTTCCAAGCTCACTCACTTTCCTAGCTGACTGCCCCCCTCTCCCTTTTTGGGGACGGAGCAAAGAGTTCTGCTCTGAGTTATGTTGCAAATTGATGACGTTTTGGGAAAGCGGCTTGTGATGAGTGGTGACCGACAGGATGTGTGCGAGTCAGGGGCATGGTAGCTCATACCTGTCGTACCTGTACATTACCGGTCGCCCAGAGGTACGCTGTGAAACACATCTTCAGCCACGCGGTACTGTTTTGCCGTGTCTCTTTCTAAGCTTCTCAAGGCAGATCTGCATGGCAGAACTCTACCATCCTCTGTGTGGGTGCTTTTGCTACAGAGAAATAGCGCACTTGGGTACATGCAGACGTTTGCTGGATCCGGTCTATGATTATGTGGTTTCCTTTAAGCTGCATGATCGTAGATCAGGAGTGGCACGTGCAGGCATTTGCCAGTGCTGGGAGCTGCTTGGGGAACTCTATTTAAAGTAATTTGGGGTAGAGGAGGGGGTTGGCAGGTCTGGGGGGTAGACAATGTTGGTAGGATCAGGAGTGGCTGCTGGGTCCATGGGAAGCATTCTCCATCTGGGGGTAGGTGGGTTGTGGGGGGGACTAAAAAAAGCCCAGTCAGAGTCAGGAGGGTTAGGAAGACCATAGTCCCCTGGGGCTGGGGCTAGTGGCTGGGCTTTCCCGGCCCCAGGGATGTACTCCAAACATGTATAGGTGTTCGATAAATTGGGCTAACCCATTCCCAATCTAAGTTAGTTCACCGACTCAGATGAACTAATTTAGGTCGGGCCCACCACTTTTAGCCCAATTTAAACCCCCCAACATCTGCACAAAGGGGCATTTAGATCAATCTCACCCTAGTTAGGTTGAGCTAAATGTGACATCTGCACATACCCCTTTTCTTTGGTTTAGTGTTTGCCACTTTCCAGGTGACATCCAAGGACTGTTCTGCCAGCAGATACGCTCACGGAGATGAACCCTCGGTCACTCCACGAGCATATCTGGATTAGGATCTACTAATGTAAATGAGCAATTTTCAACCATTTCCTCATTGGGTCTCTTCCTTTTCTGGCCACATACGAAGGGCAGTGTGGCCATGACCTGCCAGTTGAGAACCTATAGTTTGTGCCTTCCAGAGAGCTAGGTGAAACGGTGCCTTCACCACATCCCTGTTATTTTTGGTAAATATTGGAATGCCTTCCCCTTTGAGAGAGAGCTTTTTTTCCACCATAAATTATGCTCCTAATGTGAACAACCCATCTATTTCCCAGCCCCCAGCAAAACAGAATGATGTTAAAAACTTATTTTTAAATGGAGAGAGGTGCCAGGGATTCAATGACATCCATTAAGGACCTTATGCATCGCTATCAATTTTACATCTGAAGCACTGAGATTGTGGGGATGGGCCTCAGTTTAAAACTCCAGGACAGACAAGTAATAAGTTTAACCTCAGTCAGGAAGGATGGTGGGTGTGTTAAATGCAGGCACTGCTGCTTTAGAAAAGCTGTTTGTCTGTATGTGTACGCCAGTGTATCCAATTCAACATTATTAGCCAAATTAAATGCAAGTCAGAACGTCCAGCTTGTTGAACCATCCTGTTGCCTTGATGAGAAGCAATCAGCTCCCGCTCTGTCTATCAATGCTGGAAATTCCTGGGCTCTATTTATTTTTCTGATCCTGTCTATTAAACTTAATCTGGTTTTCTGTTGCTGCTGCTGTTTTAATCATTACAGTAGCTTCAGAATTCTGTTTGTAATTTTTCCCCCCCTGCAGAACTGATGGATGGCTGAATTTATCTTCCGCTGTCTAACTGTGGATGTAATTCACTTAATGTATTTGCAAATCCTGGGTAATTTATCTCATCTCCTATGCAGCATAACTACAATGGATAGCAAGATAGGGTGGGAAGGGGGGAAAAAAAAAAGAAAGAGAGTTCTGCAAAATGATAAATGCATGAACCAGAGTAGGCAGACAAGGTTCCTTGGGTGAATTTGATATCTTTTATTAGACCAACCCAAATGGTTGGAGAATAGTTATTAAGCAAGCTTTCCCCTTCGTCAGGCTCAAGAAGCTGCAGCAGTCGGTGTGTGCTCTTCCTGGATGGAATGAAAAGCAAAGAAGCCAGGGGCTGGGCTGGGCTGGGGAGTCAGTTGCCAGGCAGCTTGTAACGTATCAAAAATCCAATGTCTATGTTTAGTCCCTGATCTCTAGTATCCAGCAGGTTGATGAAATGGAGCTCATAGGCTCGTCTCTGGGATGTGTTGTGTAAGTTTCCCTTGAGGATCAGGACTGAGAGATTGGAGAGAGAGTGGCCCTCCTGTGAGAAATGTGCCCCCACCGGTAGTTGGGTGTTTCTGTCTTTGATGGATTTCCGGTGTGCGTTCATTCTGGTGCACGGTTGTTGTCTGGTCTCTCCTACATATCTTCCATCAGGGCATTTGGTGCATTGGATGAGGTATACTACATTCCTGGAGGTGCAGCTGTAAGATCCTGGGATGCTGATGGCTCTGTTGTGGGGTGTAGTAATAGTGGGGGTGGTGGAGATGTGGGGGCAGGTTTTGCATTTCTTGTCCTGGCACGGTCTGGATCCTTTTGGTGCGTTCCGGGGTTGAGGAAGTTTGCTTCTGGTGATGAGGTTGGCGAGGTTCGGTGCTTGTCTGAAGGCTAGGATGGGTGGCTCTGGGAAGATCTTTTTAAGAATAGGGTCTTTGTCTAATATGGGTTGCAATTTTTTGAGGATTTTCCATACAGGTTCAAGGGAGGCACATGAATATAACATGAGATTTGTAACTCAAAGTTATCAGTGCAAATACCCTCTTGGGTTAGGGAGGAAGAAAAGGTATAAGGAAACGTAAGAGTTTTATGAATGAATTGAATTAAATAAAACCTAATTTAGAGCGGCTCAATAAGTTCTGATGCCTAGGAGACTTGAAGATAGAATAGGGGCTGGGCCATGCCCCACCCTCACCATGGGACCAGCGTGGATCCAGGCTTCTGCCCCACTCAGCATGCCTGGATGGGGCCCTGCTGTGACCGCCCTGTGCCGGATCAGAAACACCAGACAGATCTGGCCCATAGTTGGTCTGAGCACTGCCCTTCTGCCCCATTGGTCAAAAAGGTTGAGCCCCACAGGGGTTCATGTGTTGAACAGGAAAGCCTCTAGGGTAGACAGGCAATTGCCCCAGTCTGCCCTATGGGTCAATGTGGGCACAACTCCACATAACTATGCCAGGACCTGGGTATCACCCACCTATAGGATGTGAACAGAAAAAAACAGAACACCCTCCCCTTCCCACTACCCCGAAACTTATTTGAAGATTCAGCAAGCTGCAGTTACTGACTCCAATTTTAGTTGCTACTTGGGCTCTATCAAGTATGCATAACTGACATCTCCAGCAGGGTTTCAACAGAAAGACTCCAGCTGAGGCTACAGTTTTTGTGTTTAAATAGAACATTAAACAACACAGAGCAGGTTCCTTCCTCTGGCTTGCTAGAAGCACCACCTTAATGATTCCTTTAAGTTCCATCTGCTTGCAGCCTTGAATTGTGTATCAATGGAAAGTCAAATGACACACACTAAAAATTCATTTATTCTTGGAGCAGGAGTTCCTGTTATTGGCACTATATGAGTTCACACAGAGTCAGGATTTGACCTAAAGTCTTGAAGAGAAGATCAATCTGTCTGAGAAAAACTAGAAATGTAGTGCATAAAAGCCTTGAAAGCCTTTTCAAATCTAATTTACAATTGTGCTTTAGGTACTGTAGGTGGTTTGTTGAGTCAGAACATCCTGCATTCTTTCCCACCCTGTGTTATTGTAGAAACTGAGGTTTGTGCTGCTTGCAATCCAGGCAGATAATTTATAGATTTTTCCAATATCAAGCCTAAATAAAGTTCAGGAGTTTTTCTCCAGAATGTCCATTAAGCAAACTTACACTAGCTACATTAAAACTATTTCACAGTGCAACACACACATTTATACAAGTTAAACAAAAGTCAAAGGGATTTGGAAGCTGCAGGCTGAAAGAAGCAGAGGAGAGAAAAAGGGAAAATGTGAGTATTGATGCTCAGAAGGTGTTTGGATGATTTGCTTTAACAGCCCCTTCCTCCAGTCACTTTGAGAGAAAATATATTGGATTTTGCAGGCCAAAAAGAGAAAAGTAGAAGACATTTATAAAAACAAATGCTTAGAGTGGAAATGATTTTCAACCTTATGCCTTTCAGAACACTGACTCCACAATTATTTGCTAAATGGCAATTTTAGGGCATTTATTGTATTTATTTCAATATGAGTAATGCATTATAGTATGATCAGGCACAATGATGACTAACGTGAAAATAAGGACTATGCATATTATAATCATCACTGGCATAAAAACTGCATACTGTATATTTTAGCACAGACCCTTTGCAAACTTAAATTTCTACCAGTACTGCCAAGCTATACAGTATGCCAGATCCATTCAGACATATTCAGATCCCTGAAGGACATTGAAAGAAACACTACATACTCTGACCTCTGACTCATAACAACCTCTCTCTACCAGAGAAAAAGGCCATAGAATCTCTAAGATCTAACCACCAAATAGTAATAAAACCAGCAGATAAAGGAGGAGCCATAGTCATCCTAAACCGTGAGGATTACATAAAGGAAGCCAACAGACAGCTCTCTGACACCACCTACTACAAAGAACTACAAGAAGATCCTACTCCCCTTTTCACCAAAAAACTCAACAATACCATCAAATCATTTCCACCAAGATTACAAGAAAAACTACAGACCTTGATCCCCCCGCTACCTAACCCAGGGACTTTTTACATGCTCCCTAAAATCCACAAACAAGGGAACCCTGGCAGACCTATCATATCCAACCATGGGACCCTAACTGAGGAAATATCAGGTTTTGTTGAATCCATCCTAAAACCGCTTGTCACCCACAGAGCAAGTTTTGTCCAAGACACCACAGACTTGCTACGGAAACTTAAAAACATAGACCACCTTCCCAGGAACACACTCCTAGCCACCATGGACGTTACCAGCCTATACACCAACATCCCACACCAGGATGGCATCCATGCCTGCCTTACATATCTACAGGAACAAGATTACAACCCAGAATACAGACCCAAAGATATCACTGAGCTTATACACTTCATCCTCACACACAACAATTTCACTTTTAATAATCAACACTTCCTCCAGATGATGGGAACAGCTATGGGCACTAAAATGGCCCCACAGTATGCCAACCTTTTTATGAGCCACCTGGAAGAAGACTTCCTCAAGAACTGCACCATCAAACCCTTGCTGTACTTACGATATATCGATGACATCTTCATCATTTGGAGTGAGAACCTGGAATCTCTACTTGAGTTCCACCAGAAATTCAACAGTCACCATCCCTCCATCCGACTTTCTTTAGAATACTCCAACACCAACATCCCCTTTTTAGACACAAGGATCAGTATCCAGAAGGGTAAAATACAGACCACAGTATACAAGAAACCCACAGACCAACATACATATCTGCACAGAACCAGCAATCACCCGAAACACACCAAAAAAGCAGTGATATACAGCCAAGCCCTCAGATACCACCGCATCTGTACTGAAGGGCACACCCGGGATTGCCACCTCACCAATCTTAAAAAGGCTTTCACCCAGCAAGGACACTCCTCCAGAGAGGTAGATCGCACGTTTGAAAGAGCCACCTGGATACCACGTGAAGAACTGCTGCAGTACAGAAGAAAAACACCCACAAATCGCACACCGCTGGTTATGACCTATCACCCCTCCCTTGAACCTGTATGGAAAATCCTCAAAAAATTGCAACCCATATTAGAAAAAGACCCTATTCTTAAAAAGATCTTCCCAGAGCCACCCATCCTAGCCTTCAGACAAGCACCGAACCTCGCCAACCTCATCACCAGAAGCAAACTTCCTCAACCCCAGAACACACCAAAAGGATCCAGACCATGCCATGACAAGAAATGCAAAACCTGTCCCCACATCTCCACCACCCCCACTATTACTACACCCCGCAACAGAGCCATCAGCATCCCAGGATCTTACAGCTGCACCTCCAGGAATGTAGTATACCTCATCCAATGCACCAAATGCCCTGATGGAAGATATGTAGGAGAGACCAGACAACAACTGTGCACCAGAATGAACGCACACCGGAAATCCATCAAAGACAGAAACACCCAACTACCGGTGGGGGCACATTTCTCACAGGAGGGCCACTCTCTCTCCAATCTCTCAGTCCTGATCCTCAAGGGAAACTTACACAACAAATCCCAGAGACGAGCCTATGAGCTCCATTTCATCAACCTGCTGGATACTAGAGATCAGGGACTAAACATAGACATTGGATTTTTGATACATTACAATCTGCCTGGCACCTGACTCCCCAGCCCAGCCCAGCCCAGCCCAGCCCCTGGCTTCTTTACTTTTCATTCCATCCAGGAAGAGCACACACCAACTGCTGCAGCTTCCTGAGCCTGACGAAGGGTTTTTGAACCCGAAAGCTTGCTTAATAACTATTCTCCAACCATTTGGGTTGGTCTAATAAAAGATATCAAATTCACCCAAGGAACCTTGTTTGCCTATATCCTTAGACCAACACGGCTACAACCTAAACCCCTGAACCAGAGTAGGTCACTTCAGTTAATTAGAAGATACGTATGGTGGTTATTTCCTCGTTTCTCCAAAAGCGGAGTGGAGGAGGGAAGATGCTTTGGACAGGAGGTGACAGCATCGGATAACAATGAAAAAAGTCTTGTTGAGGTGCCATGGTAGAGGAAGCAACAGTAAAGGTTTCTTTAAATAAAAATCAATATAAGCAAGAGAGCGAGTGTGAGAGGCAGAGGGAGACAGAAAGAGAGAGAGGGAGATGAGCAGAATATTACAGACATGTCGGGCGAAATCATTTTTTTTGTGTAAATGTCAAGTTGAAGTCACCATCAATTTGTCTTTGTTACAGAACTGAACATTCCTGAACTTGTATGAATTATCTGCCATGGAAAGTCCTGTATTTTAAGGAGGCAAATGGATGTAGAGAAGACAAGGGGAATTAGGGAGAGAAGGGGGTTTTAAAAGAGGCTGTCCAAGGAAAGGTCTCTCTAGATACCATGTGGCTCAGGTAGTTGTGTAGCTCCGCTCAGCACCTGAGCTGTGAGAGTGCAAGGGGCGCTCTGGAATAACCCCAGCTGCTGCGTGGCCCGTGGTGGCCAGCGAGATGGCTTGGCCAGTGTCTAGATGCACCGTCACTGCCTGCTGGGCGGCTGCAGAAGCCACGTGCCATTCAGCACAGGTGGACCGGCTCCGCCAGCTGAGTGGAGGGTTTTGCCACCTCAAAAGCTTTGTGTGTGGACGCACCCAAAGCTTTGGCATTGGCGCCGGAGTTCAGCTAGCACCATGTTGGCGGCGTCACATTTGAGCTGAATATTTGGGAGTGAGGAGTTTTAGGAAGCAAGGAGTTCAGGAAAGCAGGGGGTGGGGGGGGATGATGAGGTATGCAGATGGTTTGTAGATCAAGTATCACAGTGATTATGGGAGCTCAGGCTGCCAAGTGGAAGGTAGGTCTGAAAGGAGGAAGTCCCAAGGTCCTCATCAGAAATGTAGAGGTAAATGAGAGAGCAGCAGGTGGGGGGAAGTCACTTGAGGATGAGAAGGACACTGGAGGAGAAGACGATTGGGAGGTTAATGAAGGCAGCTCAGCAATGAGTGGGTCGGTGGATGGTTTGGCAAGGACTGAGTGGGGGGGAGTTAGCTAGAACAGGATGAATAAGGAACTTTTCAGTAGACTTTTCTTCTTTAACTCCCACTTCTTCTTGCCTCAGGTATGCGCATCCTGGTGACCCTTCTCTTGGACACACTGCCCATGCTGGGGAATGTCCTCCTCCTCTGTTTCTTTGTCTTCTTTATCTTTGGTATCGTGGGAGTCCAGCTATGGGCAGGGTTGCTCAGGAACCGCTGTTTCTTCCCGGAGAACTTCAGCATGTAAGTACAGAAAAGGCCCTCCCCTGGCACTGCTATTGCCTCTGCCACCGCAACTGAGAGCTGTAGGCATCTGCCCGGAGGTCAGATTCATTGTTGTTCCATCAAGGCCAGTCGAAGTGTGGTCATCGACTTCAGTGGCATGTCACCTTGGCCCTAAGAAAACTGCCAACTGCTCTGCTACTGAATCGCAGGGTGGATTTCACGAGAATCTTCATTCTCGTTCTTTCGTGAGAAAGCTCATGACTCAGAGGCGGGGGCTTTTTTCTTTTCTTTTCCTCTTTTTTTCAAATCAGCGGGGAAATGAGTTTAATACAATACCGGTTCTTCAATCTAATAAACCTCTGGCACTAAAGCGGGCACCTGTGCAGTCATTCTCTGTTAAGGAGACCTGCGTATCTGGTGGGAATGCTGCCCTCTGATCCTGATGTAGTGCAAGGAATTCAAATTGCCCAGATTATAGAAGTGTAATGTAAATGTGAGACCCCCTCTACATGGAGGTCAGTGACTGAAGACTCCCACCTGGCTGAGCCGGTGTAAGTTGAGATTATCTGAAAAGCAGAAGATCAGTGCCTGGGGGACAGAGGAGGATGAGTGGGATGCCAAGGGGACATCACCCCAGAAGCCACTATGCCCAGCTATAGTAGGATAGTTAGTGTATGGAGGTGAGCGACTGATGGATGTAGATCCCAAGGCCACAGCTACGCCACACCTCTAGCATTTTGTGGGAGTGACATGCTCTCACATACCTCACCTGCTCGCTCCTGCTTGCACATCCTAAACCTGGGAACGAGACAGTGAAACAGTTCTGGGGCATCCTCAGGGAGCCACTCCTGATACCTTTGCCTGGTGTTCTGGAGAGATGCTGTGTGGACTGCCCTCCAATGCAGCTTTGCTGCTGCATTTCCCACTTGGCTCACGCATGAGTGCATCCTTCCCCGAGAGCCGTGGGGTCTGATGTCGGCATGTCACCCCTTGTTGAACCAAAGTGGTCACAGGCTGCATGGAGCAGCTGGCTCTTGCAAATGCATATACCCTGTCCCAAGAAGCAGCTCTTTTTTGACTCTCTTATTAGGTTTGGCTCAAATCTCTCAGTTTCTTCACTGTTTTCATCTCCGGCCATTGTCCCCTGAGCTTTTATATCTGGAAAACCCCTCCAGCTCAGAGCTGGTCTTCTGGGAAGCACAAGGTCTTCAGAGCTGAGCCTGGTATCAGCTCTCAGGTGCGTACGAGGGAACCTCAAGAATTCAAACTCCCGAACAAAGGAGGGCGATTTATCCCATCTGTCCCTTTAACAAGACTGAGTGCTTATGCATCAAGCAAGTCCTACACGGCCATCCATTAGCACCTTCTGGCAGGAAAGTGCATTCAGCACTGGCACTCGGGACTGATGGTAACCTTGACCCTGCTCGACTCTCAGCCTGTGCAAGATGAGATGATGTCACCTTAAAAGAAATCCCAGCATTTCATAAATATTCCCTATTCCCAAACACAGCCAAAAACTCCTGCCCAGAGGCGTAGCAGGAACAAAGGAGGCTGTGACAAAAAGTTGCCATTTCAGGCGCGCTGAGTGCTGTCTGTAACTGCGGCATGGTATTCAGCTGCTGCTCTGATTGACAGGTGCCTTAGAAAAAAACCTTAGAGACAGAGATCAGGCTTTCCAGATTCAGCATATAATTAATACGTGACCTTTTCTACATTGGTGGAGACAGTGGGATCTGAATCCCATTCGGCAGCTGCTATTGTTTATTTGTACTGAAGCGGCAGTAGCACCTAGGGACCCCAGGAGGATCATGGCACAGTACACAGCATAATGCAATGTACGGCTAGTGTAACACACAGCAGGTGCAGTCCCTGCCCTGAGCCATTCATTATCATAGGTTTGTGGCTTTTAAGGTCAGACGCACCATTGTGGTCAAATCTGGCTTTCTGACTTCTGATTGCCATTCTTGGCTAGGCCGCTCACCTGGAGTATGAACTCTTCCAGTTCCTTACTGATATTCAAGCTATCCTCTAGCCTGGGATTCTCTAAGTGTGGTATGCATACCCCTGGGCATACGCAAGACATTTGTGGAGGCATATACGGGAGAAATTATGTAATGGCAGGTTTAATTTTCATTTTAATAATAATTGGCATTTAAGGAGTTCAAATAGAAAATGTATGCTGGCAGGCGTACAGGGGCAGCTGGTAGGTCTGGAAGGGAGTACTCCATAAGAAAAAGTTTGGGAACCTCTGCTCTAGGGTATAATAGTCTTTGACCTCTTCTAGATAAAAGCCTTCCAAAATACCCACTTCCATTTAGCCTGCAGATCTAATCAGATTTTTCCATTATTAAATAAGGTGGGAAGTCAGGTTGGTCTTCCCACTGACAGATACCCACTACATGTTAAGGTCATAAGTCCCAGGCTGAGGAACTATATTCTCATATTATTCATCTTACAGCAATAGCGACCAAAACAGCAAGAACAGACTCAATGAAATATATATAACAAACTAACTAACTAGATACTTGATGCTAAAGGCATTTGGGTCTAGGTACAGAACAAAGGCTCTGCATCTCCGTACTTCATTTTGCCTGTCACCTCCCAGCAGCTGATCTAACTGTTAGATCCATGCTGGGAGGTGATAGCATTGCAACCTTAGTCCTCTCTCATGCAGCTCCAGACTATTTGTGACATCTCTTGTAGGTTCTGCAGTCTTAGGAGCGGGAATTAAAATAACATGGAAAGTCCTTTTAGGTAAATGGTAATCCAGCAAATGAACTGATAACTGCTGTGTAAATCCAAAGTAGCTACAGGTTTGGGTGCTGTTTAATTGAACCAGATTCCAGGGGTTTAGCTAAGCTTTGAATGGTATTAAAGGAAATTCTGTAGGAATTAACTGGGCTACACTAGGCTTAAAAATAGCTTTTCAAGCTTTACAGGGAGTCCTGGTGGCATTAAGGAGATAGCCGGTTGTAGAGCAAGAAGTAGTCGTTTCCAACTGGCCAAAGGACTGTTTCGTCTCCCCTGGTGTGTGTGGTGTGGACTTGCTTATTGTTTCAGGACCATCTTTTGTGGGAATTTTCATCTCGCCTGACTTTGAACTGCCACACTGAATAGCAAACGGGACCTAACTCTGGCACAGGGAACCTCAAGAGATCCCGGCCTTGTGAAGAAGGAGTCTATCCAAGTGGTGTATTCTGCCGCTGCACAGGGATTTTCAGCATCTTTGGAAGGGCAGAAGATAAAATGGCCAGAACAGATGGATTTCTCTTTTAGTGCAGTGAAAACCCTTTGGAAAGGATATAACATCACCAGGCCAAACTCTGCTTTTGGTTCCCCGACTGTAAGCCAGGAGTAATTCTGGGTGGAGTCGCTATTCAGTAACAGGAGTGGAGTCGCTCCAGATTTACCCCATTGTACCTCACAGCAGAATTTGACTCTCTTCTCTAACTAACTTCTTTCTCTTCCTCCCTCGCTTCGTTTTTTTTTTCTTTATCTTTCTCATGGTTTTTGCTTAACTGGCAATTGAAGAGGAGGTTCAACTTTCTTCAGATGCTGTGGATGAAACTGTTCTAGGCTGACTATAAGGCTGTGGTCTCTCTTTCTTTTTTTTTTTTTGCCTTTCAGTAGGTGAAGAGAGGCCGTGTCTGCTAGGAGTCAGGATCCCTGAGCTCTCTTACCCACTGACATGCTCAGTGCCTGAGGGCAAGTCACTTAGCCCCTAGCCCCTCAGTGCCGTGGGGCACTTGTACACGTGACGGGCGTTTAGGGTTGCATTCTCTGCCCCCTACATTGAAACGGTGGGTTTTGAATTGAAACCCACTGTTTCAATTTAGGGGTTTCCATCCAATCCTGTTTTGGTGGAGCCTGCCTGCCTCTCCTGTAGCTGGGAGTTGAGCTGCCAGTGGGCCCCGGTCCTTCCTTCTGTGGCAGTGGAGCTCCCCAAAGCCACCCGGGTGGGCTGCTAATGGGCTGGGTGCTGCCCCAGCTCGGAGGCAGCACCTGGCCCAATCCAAATCGTCCCCAACTCTAAGCTGAGGCAGCACTCGGCCCCCTAGAAGCCTGCCCAGGCAGCCCCAGGAGGCACCACCATTGCAGAGGGAAGGACCAGAGGCCCCTGCAGCTCGGGGGCTGCTCAGCCCGCTGACAGCTTGCACCCTGGCAGTGGGAGAGGCGGGTAGGCTCCACCAGAAAAAAGCGATGAGGATTGGGCCCCTCACCACTTCTACCTTCACCAGGCGCCTGCTGAAGGTGGAAGCAGCGAGGGGCCTGATCCTTTTTTTCTGCAGAGACTGCCTGCCTCTCCTGCAGCTGGGGGGCAAGCTGACTAATAGCTGCAATGCATTGTTGCAAACCAAACTACATCAGGACGTAGTTTAGTTTGCAATGTTGCAAACTCATTTCAAATCCCCGAAAATTCCTGCATGTGTACCGCCTGACGCCATTAAGCCACGTAAAGTGATATTTTTGTCACATGTACATGGGAATGGTGTCACGTGTACAAGCGCCCTCCGTTTCCTAAAGTGGATTAAAAATGTGAACTCAGAGGTGGCTGCTGCAAGGTCTGTTCTGTAAGATGCATTGAGATCCTGGATGCACATTGTTGGAGATGCACTGTTATTACTGTTGTGATTGTCTTGACAGGTTGCCTTTAGTCAGTGTGCAAAACCCAATTGTCTGTTCTCTTTAAGTCCTTATACAGTAGAGTTGGAAAGATACTACCAGACAGAGAACGAGGACGAGAACCCCTTCATCTGCTCCCAGCCGCGGGAGAATGGCATGCGCTACTGCCGCAACATCCCAACGCGGAGAGAAGAAGGTCTAGAGTGCACCCTAGACTATTACTCCTATAATGATACCACTAATACCTCCTGTGTCAACTGGAACCAGTATTATACCAACTGTTCAGCTGGGGAGCACAACCCCTTCAAAGGAGCAATCAACTTTGATAACATTGGCTACGCATGGATTGCAATATTTCAGGTGAGCACAGCAAGCAGAGCATTTCCATCCCTGCTAATAGTCACAAGCATAATGGGAGGGCAGGTCAAATCGCTCTCTACCTGTGTGTGCAGAGATCAACATGATAAAACTGGCTGCTTGTGGGGCTGACACATCCACAGCAAGCACTGGTGCAATAATGCCAGAGCCCCACAGAATTTCAATATGGCAATTGGATATCCCCATGGAGAAGTCTTCTTCGCTTAAGGTGAAAGCTCACCCTTGTAAAAGGGCTGGGCACTACTGTAATCCAATTTACAAGCTTACCTGGGAATTAGGTGTCCCTAGGTGTAGGGACTTCATTCTGGTGCTTTGGCCAGAAATGACCTTCAACTTTACTGAACCCATGAGTTTTCTTTCCGTTCAGTCTTTGTATTTCACTTTCCTTTGTGTCGTCAACTCTCGGGATCCCCCTCTGGGTGGCATTAAAGAAATAAGCTGCTGGCTTCCGGTAACTTTTAGGATTTGTCTGCGTGGGGAAGTGGTTGTGCAGTAAGCTAGGCTGGGAGTGTAGACTAGTAGCTGTTCTGCCTCACTCCTTGTGTGGACACATACAGAGTATCTGTGTGTAGTTTCCCTTGGTTAACTTTCAGGCTGAACTAAGCTAAGCCTCAGGAGAGCACATTAAGGGTATATTTATACCTCTGCTTGTGGCAACTCCTAAGAGAAGCCTTCAACTGCTATGAGCTGCACAAGTTGCCCTTCCCCATCTATATCGCTTTGCTGGTGTACACACAGAAACATAGGGCAGACTAATTCCTAGAAGGGCTCCAATGGAGAGGGACCTTCACCAGACCCTGTCTAGGGAGCTTACCCCTACTTCCTTCTCCTCCTGTGCTTTGTTCTCATTATGATTAGGGTAGAGATTAGAAGCAGGGTGCAGAAGAGCAACTGGATTTGCTGTCCTTTCATCTGGCTCAGCTCAAGTGAGCACTAAACACACAGAGGAGGGAAGATGAGACCCATCTAGGAAAGAAGCTCAGCCTCATATCTTCTGGAAATGGCATGGACTACTGGGGGGGTTGGAGAGAGGTGTTGCTATAGCCAGTCAGCAGACCACAGTCAGGGACAGGATGGACATACGCCAAGTGTGGAATAAAGCAGCTTGTGCAGGATGCTGGTCCCAGGTACGGCCCTGGGTCCCAGGCCACTATTCATAACCTTCCCT